TTCTAACCATATTAAAGCCTCTTTTCTTTTTTTTTTTTTTTTTCACTCTCATTTCGGTTAAGCCGTTGTCTTTTGCTACTTTCTCGTCATAATAAAACATATGCAAATACTGTATTTACATAATCAAATATCGAACATCGAATCACGTCGATAGATCATCCGCTATAGCAGTATTTATAGGGTTTCAGAATACAGAAATTGATTCAATTTTCTGAACAAAACACGCATAGATGTTTTTAGTTGACATCATAAACTAAGATTGCCGTTTTTTTTTCTTTTTTTTGATACTTTATTTTTATCAGAAAAGAAATGAAAGAACTAACAAAAATAGAACTTTATTTTGATTTAACTTTGTCGTCTAGAAAAAATTCTGTAGAATTTTTTTTTTTACCTTTTAAGAACACATTTGGTAAGTGAAATCTGTGTTATCCAGGCAAATAATTTTTTGTATAATCTATTAATCCAGTCAATCAGTTAGTCAGTCAATCAGTCAATCAGTCAGTTTTCTGTTCAACAAATCTTTATCAAATTCTGTTTACTGCACAGGTATCAACAATCCAAGAAATAAAGCAGTGTATCCGTTTCTTTTTCAAAATAATCTGAGTTGAAAAAAAAAAAAAAAAACACTGTATTTTGTCGTTTTATTTTCTGACCAAAAAAAAATTAATGCAGTTTTAACAATATTTAAAGTTTGTATAGTTTTAAAAGTCTTTATAACTGATATTGTTCACCAAATAAATCCTGTTGTTACTATAACTGCTGCTACTGCTGCTGCTTCTGCTATTGCTACTGCTGCTACCTACCGTTGTTGCCTGTTATTAGTTGTTGAATCTTAGTTCAACTTTTAGTTGTCTCTATTTTTTTTCCTTGTTATTTGACCGATGTTATGATCACTAAGTCAACTAAAGTTAATAAAATACGCCAATTTACTGGTGACCATTCAGTTAATAATGCAATGATTCTCAAAAGAATGTATGTTAACTTAAACAGACATAATTACAGTGTGCCACTTCGCTTCTCCTCTCTTCTTTTCTCTTTGGTTTCTTTTTTGTTCGCTGACCAAACATTACTTTTAAAAAACATCAGAAATTATTGGTGTTTCCTTGAATTGTCAAACTGATTTCATTTTTTTTTTGCTAACTGAATAAAAAATTGCAACTAATTTTAGGTGTGATAATTGCGATAAATTGTTACTAAAAAATTGTTATTTTTGGTTTAAATTTTATGTGAAAATATTACTGTACTACATCGATTATGTTGTACTTTTGAATTTTAACATTTCTATCAAAAAACTTTTTTTTTTTTTTTTGTGATACAACAACAATTAAACAACTGATGAAACAATTTGTTTTTCTTGTTCTTTGTTTTTTTTTTTTTTAGAAAATCGTCATTCTGCTTCAGTAGTTTTTCGATGGTCTACAAAACGTTGACACATCGTTTTGTGAGAGAGAGAGAAGAAAAAAAAAAAGAAAAGAAAATGTAGTTCAACGGTGTTTTCTTCGTTAACTGTTGTTTAGGTTCCGGAAATAAATATAGTCTATTTGTCTGATCTATGTTGACAAATTTTTCTTCCTGTTATGTAATAATTTATTTTTGTTTTTTTCTAGATTTTTTAGAACATCGATATGTGTTAACTGTTTGAGCGAACAATAATTGCAAAAATAAAAGCGGCTATGAATATCGTCGGTCACCGCTACTACTCATTTATCGCAGATGCACATCATTATCACTGGTCATAGAATAAAACCCAAAAACGAGTTTTTAATAATGTTTTGGTTTTGAAACAAAACAAAACAAAACAAAAAACAAAATAAAAAAGGAAAGAATAAACAGTTGATAAAATAGTAAAAAAAAAAAGACACTAAGAATGAAAAAAAAGACAGTATTTTTACACATTTTTTTCTTGACAGATACTCAAAATAATATCTTTTTTGATACTATACTTTAGCGTATTCTTTCCTTAATTTCTTATACTTTTTCGTTGTTAAAATTGTAAACGAAAATAGTTGCTTATTCATTTCAACGCTTTTCTTTCTTTCAAAAATTTTATCAAATTTTTGTGTCGTTTTTCTCTTTGTTTATTTTATTATTATTATTTTTTTTTGTTGTTGTTTATCTTAAATTTGATAACATTTTCAGCAAAAATTTTTTATTTAGTTTTTTTCTTTCCGGTAGCTAAAGTTTTTTTTTTTCAAATTATTTTCTAATTTACTGATTCCTTTTGAGTAGTCAATCACCAACCAATGGCGACAAAAAGGAAGGGAGAAGAGGATGGGTGTTGGGGGGGAGGGGGGGGTGGTGGTGCATTAAGAGAAACTTTTGCTGATAACTTCCTCTTCTCCTTTTTCTTCTTCTTCTTCTTCTTCTTCTTCGCCTTCTTCTTCCTCTTCAAATTTCTCATTTTGAACAGTTAAAAAACCTGTAATTGCAGTAGCAAATGTTCATTTGAACTTCGGTCAAAATATTATCTAGAAAAAAGCTCTTTTTTTGTCATTTTTTTTTCAAATTTATATTTTGAAAAAGAAGATAAAGGTTATTCATAAAGGTTATTCATTGGCAATGTCAAAAAATTACCGCTATCTTTGTCATTTTTTGTTTTTAGTCGGTTTATTCAAAAGAAAAAAGTAATATACCTAATTTACTGTACTGTTTTGTACGGGTCAATAAACTTTCCTGTTTTTTTTTTTTCTGAACATTACTCTATGTATTTTTTAGCTTCATATTCTTTACTAATAATCTTTTGCCGAAAAGTATTATTTTGCTGACACTTCCAGTAAACAGTATTCTGTCTGGCAAATAGAAGATACAGCTTATGAATATGCAAATTTTAATGTTGCACAACATGATACCAATGTAAATTTGTACTTTTTTTTTTTTTTTGCTGAACAGTTATAATAGTTGTTGTTGTTGATTTTTGTTCCCTGTTTTTAAATTTTATATCTGATGTTTTCCTATATGTCTAATTATTCTATTGGTCTGCATTTTCTTTTTTTGCTTGTCAATAAATTGTTCAAATAATTTTAAAACTGTTTACCAAATAAAAAAAAATAATCCTGTTGGGGAAAATAAAAATATACCTTCCTAATTTTTAATCTTTTTTTTTTCAGCTGTTGACTGATTAATTTGTATTTTGATGTGAATTTTTTTCAATTATTCTGTTTTTTTTATTAGAAATTAACAGCTTTTGGTTAACTCTACTAAATCAATTTTGTTATTTGCCAAAATAAAACTGTTTAAACAACTGATGAACATGTTTGATTTTTCAATAAAAATTTCAATTTTTATTTTATATTTCTTTATCACTCTCTAATTTCTTGCTTCAAATAACAACAAACTTTTTTACTGTACAGTGTTGTCTATCACACTTTATTGAACAATCTTCTTCCATTGTTTGTTAGAAGCCATAAAAGTTAAATGGATATTCTATATTCAAAACCTCATGATAGTATTCCAACTTTAATGATATAACACTAAAAATAGTTAATTTTTTACGGTTCACTATGACATTATATATGTGTCTCTAAACGACGATTTATCGAGCAGATACACAAGAAAATTCATTCAATTTTTTTTTTTTTTTTTGGCAAAATTCTCATAATCTTTCACTGAAGTAGGAGTTTTAACTATTTATATAGCACATAGAAACCAGTTAAGCTTTACTAAAGTTAGGGCCCTTCTTTCTGACATTTAAAATAGCAGAAGAAGTGAGTTGCAAATGAAACTTTTTCATAACACAAAGTCGAAATCTTTTACAGTTTTACTCAAGGAACAAGGAAATTTTTTTTGAGCAAAAATTTTGTCGATCAGTTTGCAAATATATTCTTTAATTTTGTTTCTTTATTCCTTTCTTTCTTCTCCTGTGTAAGGCAGCTACTAAACGATTTTGAAAAATACGGGTGTAAAATACATGCGAAAAAAATTCATTTTGTTTTGAAAAAAATTTCAGTAATCTGCAACTATGTTAGAAAAGCATTACTGGTAGTTGATTACGGTAGGTGTAGCAAGGTAACCAGTGTAGTACGTTTACAATCACTAAACGGCATCAAATTTGTCCTTGATAACACTCATAACAGCATGGTGATTATAAAATTCATTTATAGTCAAATTGGCAAAAGGCCTAAAACTTCAAGGTCGAAACAAGTTACTAGTCAAGCTGAGGTCGGGCTCAATTGAATCGACGGATCTTCGTGGAATGCAAAACGGCCACAATGTAAACGAGAATAAAGATTTACCGGTTGACTTGGCAGGTTGCCAAGTCGCTCCAGATACCAAGGGAGGGAAAAACATCAGGGTAAGCACGAAGATAATGTCCCTACCGGCTTAATTACAGTATTTCAGCCTTTTCAATTATAACTTCACATATACAAATTATTACTGTACATATATGTACTGTATATATATTCATTATAAATACATATATCATTAAGTTGACTGCATTTGATATTGTGTTTTAGAAACTTACATCCAGCGTTTTGCAAAATGCATTCACAGCGAAGGATGGACCGACCGAAGAATTTGGATGTTCTGTCCAGCAGCTTGGAAAACTAATGGAGGCTCGTGGGCCTGAAGCTGTTCTAAAGGTATGAACAAGGAGAGGCTTTTTAAGTATTGAATCTTAACTGGTGTTTTTCAAAATAATTTTTTTTTTGTTAAAGAAGTTCAACTGTTAAGAAAGAAGAGTTACGAATTAGAAAATGACAACGTTTTTTTTTTTTTCCAGCTGAACAACGAATTTGATGGAACAGACGGATTATGCAAGCGTCTAAAGGTGGATCCAGTTGTAGGTCTATCTAAAGATCCGCAGAAATTGGGAAAAAGACGCGCAAAATTTGGCTCTAATACGATTCCTCCAACTCCTGCTAAATCGTTTCTTCGCCTTGTGTTTAACGCTTGTAAGGTGGGAGATTGATCAAATATTTGTTACCTATTAGCTTAGAAAGAAATAAAAAAAATTATCAAAGATGCTGTTGACTGTTCTACTTTGTTGATGAAAACAGTTTCAGGACCCTACCTTGATTATTCTCGTTGTGTCCGGTTTCATTTCACTTGGTCTGTCATTCGTTGAGCCCGGCCAGAGCGAATCTAATGTAAGCTTTGCAGCTACAACAGTGACATACCAGAAAGCAGGGTTATCTGCTAGAGTTTTAGAAGCTCTCAACAGCACAGAATTTACAGGTTTCTATTTGATTACTGAACTTTTCTTTTAGATAGTTAAAAAAATGATATGGCTTTCAAACTTTACACCGTTTGGTAATTCAAGAATAGGTTATACGAGTTTCTGTTAGTAAAACTCTCTATAGTTATATATGAGGCTTGATTAATTAGGTAGTTCTCCCTATTTGATACCATGCTTCTGATGCTTTTTGGCAAAGTCTTCTGCTAATTTTAGTTAATTCGACGTCTATAGAACCGGCTGAAGAACCTGATAATGACCATGATACAGCGTGGATTGAGGGCGTCGCTATACTCGTTTGCGTTATTGTTGTTGTTCTTGTTACAGCTATTAATGACTACTCGAAAGAAAGGCAATTTCGAGGTTAGTTATTTCATGACTAGTAACTTACTGAAATAATCCAATATTTTAAATTTCAGTTTAATGAAACGGCATAAATGTTTTTTACTTTGTCGGAAAATGTTAAATGAGCTATTTAGGGTTACAAGCAGACATTGAACGCGGTCACTTCTTTTCCGTGATTCGAGATGGTGAAGCAGTTGATGTTCCCGTGTCTGACCTTGTTGTTGGAGATATAGCTCGTGTCAAATACGGTTATTTTTTCTTGTTTTTTCAATTTAGTTAGCTGGTTCTTTTCTATTTAAACTTTTTTAATAGTCTTATGCTTTTTTAGGAGACTTAATGCCTGCCGATGGCATACTTTTGCAGTCTTACGATCTTAAAATGGATGAGTCTTCCTTAACTGGGGAATCTGACTATATTTGCAAAAGCATCGAGAATGATCCTGTATTACTGTCAGGTACTGTGCTGCTGGGTCAAATGTAAATAACACGTTAAATAATCGTACAGTATCTAACAGCTTCGTAAAAAAGTTTTAATTCGTCAATCGTTTCCACTTTTCAGGCACATATGCAATGGAAGGCAGCGGTAAAATCTTGATTACGGCAGTTGGTGTTAACTCACAAGCAGGCATTATTATGTCTTTGTTAGGTGCTGGACGTTCCCGCGCCTACGACTCCAGCTCTGATTCATCCTCATCCTGTATGTTTTGATAAAATTGCTTTTACCATGCTTCGGCGTTAGTTTTTAAACAAAAGACAAACTTTTTATAGCTTCTTCAACCACGATTTCCAAATCTTCGCGCTCTTCGTCATCTGACTCATTAAAAATTTCATCAAAAGATAGCGTTTCAAGCAGTTCAAGTGACGATGAAGACAGCTCTTTCGCCAGCTGGCATGGAAGCGATGATGATGAAGGTCTCTCAGCAAAGTCTGTTTTACAGGCTAAGCTGTCCAAGCTCGCTTTGCAAATTATTTATTGTGGTAAGCTTTAGCAGAAAATTTCAAATTTTAAATTTTGGCATATTTAAATTTGTACTCTGACAGGGTCGCTGGAAATTCAGCAAAAGTGTCGAATGTAAAGATTTTCAAAACGTTCTTTTTGCAAAAAAAAATTTTTTTTAATAGATTTATTGTTTTTAGGTACCACAATCGCTGCTATCGCACTGGTAGTGTTAATTGTTCGATTTTGCATTGAGGAATACGAAATAAGGCGTCAGTCATTTGATATTGAAGATATCCAGCGTTTTGTGAAATTCTTTATTATTGCTGTCACTATTCTTGTCATTTCCATACCAGAAGGACTTCCTCTAGCAATTGCTTTAGCACTAACATACTCTGTTCGCAAAGTACGTTATATCGCTTAGTGTTTCAAGTTTGGTGGCTGTAGTTAGATGCTGGAATTTTTATACTCTCGTTAGATAATAGCAATTGCAGTTTTTAAAAGCGAATCTGAAAGGGAATTGAATTAGTTTTTGCAAATAAAGTCTTTTATTTTTTAAAAGTATACGAATTTAAAAAGTTTCAACATTACAGATGATGCATGATCATAACCTTGTTCGACATTTGGATGCTTGTGAGACTATGGGAAATGCAACAACAATCTGTTCTGACAAAACTGGAACCTTAACAACAAATCATATGACTGTTGTTCAATCTTTTATAAATGGTAACCGTATAAAAATTAAATGCAATGTATCGATATTAAACTTTCCTTTGGTATTTGTTTCAGTCGTTTTGTGCTTAATTTGTTTAAAGACTAACTTTTTATTCTACAGGACAGCATTTTAAAACCATTGAAACTCAACCACAAAAAAATCAGCTTGCTGAAAGCACTGCTGCATTGCTCGCGGAAGCTATAACTGTCAACTCGTCGTATAACTCAAAAGTAGTAGAACCGACGAAGTCAGGAGAGAAAGTAAGAGTTTTTTTCAAGCGGATTTTTAAGTAGGTTTCCTCACTACTAAGCCAAATAACAGTATTTTTCAGACTCAGCAACTCGGAAATAAGACTGAATGCGGTTTACTTGGACTGGTAAAAAACATAGGTTACGATTATAGCGATATTAGAAGAAAATATCCTGAAGAAACTTTTGTCAAGGTAGCCTTGAATTCTTCTTTTCACATTGACCCTCATAATGTAGGAATGCACCAAATCGTCCTTCTCTAGGTTTTTATGTTATCGTTTACAGTTTTCTTTAAAAAATAGTTGATTTCATTATTTAATATCAGGTATTTACATTCAACTCTATGAGGAAGTCGATGATGACTGTGATAAAGCTGATTGAAGCGGACCGAACTGTTGGTTTCCGAGTATATCAAAAGGGCGCATGTGAGATAATCTTAGATCGCTGCAACTCGTTGATTGCTAGCGACGGGAGTATAAGAGGGCTGGAAGAATCTGAGAGAAAAAATCTTAAAACCTCAATTGTTGAGCCTATGACAGAAAACGGTCTACGAACAATCTGCGTTGCTTATAAAGATTACATACGCTCATCTGCAAGAAAAGCAACAGCTTTTGAGGTAATATCTATAAAATCTTGTGTAAATTTTAAATGGAATTGTTTTACTGCTGCAGTTGTTGACTTCAAAATTAAACTAATTAAGAAATCAACTTACTTACATCTGTTTAACTGTCTCAGACTTACTTTGAAAACGAAGCGGATATCGATTGGGATGATGAGAAAGAAATCTCTCAGAATATGACGATGGTTGCAATTTGTGGCATCCAGGTGACTATAAGAGCACAGCTTATTTTAAGGGGTTCTAGGGTTTAAAGAGGGGAGTTCTATCACAAGAGAGGGAACTTTATTGATGATTCGTTGCTCGTAGTCAGTAAACAGAGGGTGGAATAGATTAACTTTTGCTTATCTAGGACCCTGTCAGACCAGAGGTTCCCGCAGCTATTGAGACGTGTAAACGAGCGGGGATCACTGTGAGGATGGTGACGGGTGATAATATCAATACTGCAAGAGCGATTGCTACGGCTTGCAAAATCTTGGAACCCGGCGAAGACTTTTTGGCTTTAGAGGGGAAAGACTTTAATGAGCGGTAACAAATTAATAAAACAGTTTTCTGCGACTTTCATGCAAAAAACAGTGTTTTTCTAAATTTGAATTTTATATATACTTTATTCATTTATTTTTAGAATTCGGGATAGTAATGGAAAAATAAGTCAAAAAAAATTAGACGAAATATGGCCTCGATTGCGAGTTCTAGCACGAGCACAACCGGTTGATAAATTCACTCTGGTGAAGGGGATTATAGAAAGCAAAATAACTCCAAACCGGTAAGCAAGCATAAAATCAGAATAATTTTTTACTGCAGATAATCCTGGAACATTTCAATATAATAATTTTTCAAGACAGTGTGATGTAACGAGAGAGCAAAAAAGTCTTTATTTGCAGTGAAATAGTTGCAGTTACTGGCGATGGAACTAATGATGGGCCGGCATTGAAAAAAGCTGATGTAGGATTTGCAATGGTAAATATTTAATGCAGCTAAGGGTATTGCCAATTTAGAACACGTCAACAAAGCTTATCTATTCACTTTTTAGGGTGTCGCAGGCACAGATGTTGCTAAAGAGGCATCTGATATCATTTTGACCGATGACAATTTTACTTCAATTGTAAAAGCGGTCATGTGGGGTAGAAACGTCTATGACTCAATCAGTAAATTCCTGCAGTTCCAGTTAACGGTTAATGTTGTCGCTGTGTTCACCGCATTCGTCAGTGCTTGTTCAATTTCGGATTCTCCACTTAAAGCAGTACATATGCTTTGGATTAACCTTATTATGGACACACTGGCATCTTTAGCATTGGCTACAGAGATGCCTACTAGTGAACTATTAAATCGTAAACCTTATGGTAGAAAGAAATCTTTAATTTCAAGAACAATGATTAAAAATATTGGGTGTCACGCAGTGTATCAAATGGCCATCTTGTTTGTAATCCTCTTTCTCGGTTAGTTCTTTAAAATAAATGGTAACAAATAATACCTATGATAAATTCACGATTCTACACGCGCTAATTCATTTTTGATTTCGCTGATGTGTGTAGCGAATATTGTTTTGTAAAAAACAACCTTTTACCATCATATAGGAAGATCTATTCTAGGTGCCAAAATTTTTGGGATTAAAAGCGGCATCAATGCTCCTTTATACGCTCCGCCAAGTCAACACTTTACCATCGTTTTCAATGCCTTTGTTATGATGACTTTATTCAACGAATTCAACTGCAGAAAAGTACACGGAGAGAGGAATATTTTTAAGGTTTGCTGTTTATAGTAGTTCATGATCTCGTACTCTAAACTTGTTGACCTACATAAAAAATGATCTTTACCGTTCGGCAATAACGCCCAAATAGTCCTGCATATCTATTTATTTGCAGTCAAAAAGGTAGGGGTCGTAGAATGGCAGTTGCATATGAACAGCGAACGCGAAAGGTTCCTATTGCATCTCCATTTTAAATTTGAAAGATCCATTAGATAACTGTAAACATAATAAATGTTTATAATAGCTACTAGTTGCGGTTAGAACTTGATAGCGTCAATTTAGGGTTTGATTGGAAATAGGGTGTTTTGTGTCATTTGGATTTCAACTTTCGTAGCACAAATTTGTATTGTCCAGTATGGTGGAGAATGGTTTTCAACAGCTCCACTTAATGCTCAACAATGGATTATGTGTATGATCTTAGGACTATCATCACTACTTTGGGGACAAGTGAGAGCAAAGATTACAATATCAGAACTACGAAATTTTTAAGTTTTTGAGCTCAAAAGTGTTTCTCAAAGATCAATTGTGTTTACTGACGAAAATGTGAATATAGGTTGTAGCAACGATTCCAAGCAAGAAGTTGCCTAAGAAGTTCGCATATGGCCGTGGCGAAATTAAGCCAGCGGCAATTCTTTTCAACACAGAAAACGTTACTGATAATGGCAGTTTGAAGGCGTTGTCGTATCGCACAGGTCGACAGCTGTGGAATAGAGGAGTTGCACTTTTTGCGCTCCATGTAAGTACTAAAAAATTACACTGCAACACAATCTCAATTAATTGTGCATAAAAATTCTTGAATAATTCTGGAATAATTCTAGTTCCGTGTTATTCGTGCTTTCCAAGAGAAACTCGACAATAATATGGTGCGGCCTAAAATGTCAGCTGAAGCAGCTGAAAAATGGAGACAAAGTTACCGACGTTACTGTAATAGAAGAAGTTAGTTTTACTGCTCAAGTCCACTACCTAAATTAAAACAAATGTAAAAGTTGACCCTGAAAGTTCGTTTACTTTCTCGCCTTTTTTTAAAAACACATTTCAGAGTACAGTCAAGCAAGGAAAAGTTCGCGGCACGCAAGCAAGCATCAAAAAAGCAGTCATGAACTGAAAGATGCAAGTACCATAAACTCTGCAACAAAGGCAGGAAAAAATAAGGAAGTGGTGATTTCCATTGAAGACTTTAAATAGTAATGGCCTCATATAATTGTTTTTCATTGTCGCTCATAACTTCTTCTTTATTTACCACACTGACATAGTAATATGTGATATTTTTTCTCCTACCTTTCAAAAAATTTTGATCTTAATTGAATACTTATCATATTCTTGCGTAATATGTAATAAATTTATTTTGTAAAGTTCTAGGTATGAATTTTATTCGTTATTTTTGTGTACAAAATTTTAAAATGGAGATACTTTAATAGTGGTCTCCTTTTCAACTGTTATAGTTCAATTTCACCTTGAGTTTTTTCCACAGTATTTATGTTTTCCTCGTTTTAAATAGTTTATCTTGTGGTTAACTGACGACCGTTCGCTACTGTAAATAAGTGTACTAAGCAGACGTGACAATATTCCAATTCCCGTTGTCAAGAAAATAAACGCGTACTCAAATCTCTATACAATAATTGTGTATGAAAAAGTGGGCGATATTATAAGGGACAGGTAAATTTCTAAAATAGGAGATACCAATGTCACCTAAAACAAGTAATTCTACCATGCGCCAGCAACATACATTTCTAGATGCCGTATGAAAAAAAAGATACCAACAATTAATGAAGAGCAAGAGGAGAAAATAAACTGAGGCAAGCAGGGTCCAAGAGGTTGCTGGTTTCAGAGTCCTGTTAACCAAGTAAAAAGCCAAAAACGACAGAAACCACGAACTACTTCAGTGTAGGAGAACGTTCGCTTCAGCCAAAATCTCGAAATAAAAGCTAGAAGCATTTTAGCAGCAGGTTGATAGCTCTAGCTTCTGCGAAGCATTTTTTTTAAGGTCCCAAAACCATAAAATCTACAGCTGCTGTAGGGAAATCCTGAGCAACCAAACTCAAAAAAAAAATTTATTATAAGCGATATCACATGATTTCACAAGTCCCCCTACCCAGAAATTACATAACTGACAACCAAAGCAAAATATAGTAAACCAGCAAAGAACAACCTGAAAGTCTGCAACAAATTCTCAGAAATCGCATTTGAAATTTCGGATAACAAAGACAATAAAACAAGCAGCGTGGCTGGGAAATTGCATAAGTGGGTAAAAATATGTTTGGAAAGTTTCTGATCACGGAAGAATACAAACAATAAACCCGTCTAAACAACATTTGAAGAGTTAGATATAACCGGAGACATGAATGCCGTACCCGAAACAAAAAGCAATTCAAAAATTATAGCATGAAAATCTATCCCTTGTAAACTGCATTAGCAGCAGCGGCATAAAAAAACATATCAACAATGTACAACAAATGTACAATCATTCAGAACCATCCGCCTCCAAAAATATTTTCAGTGGTGTCGTTTTCTTAAAATGCCGTTTGATGACGATGGTTCAAACGAAGTGGAAGAGAGAGAAAACGCTAGTGGTGTGTCACGTAAATTTTCCAAACGGTCTTGTAACAGTGGCTTCAAAGGGAGATGTTCGTCAAAATCAACCTCACGTAAAACAAAATCTAGATACGAGATCTCTTCTGTTTTCTGAAAACTATCCACTTTTTGAGCGAATTAGTATTAGGAAGAAAAAACTGAAAAGATAAGACAAAAATGCATTGGAGTTATTGAATTTCTTAACTGCACTACAGAGCTGTCCCCCTACACCCTAGCAGATTCACCAACTTTTCTACCGAGCGTACTTCATGCCATTTTGAGAGTGATTGAGTGCTGTGGCAGGAAGCTCGAGAGTCGACGAATCTAACAGAGTGAAATCCAAGAAATGCTGAGCAAAGCTTTTCAGTAACTTAGTGGTTGGGCAGTATCCTCTGGGTTTGAATTTCAGACAGGGGGGGGGGAGGGGGGGCAATTAGGCGAAAAATGTCAATGCATGATGTGATACAATCAAATTATTGAAAAACATAAAACTCAAAATTAAAATTGTAAAATGCTGAGCGAAACAAAGATTTATCATTCACTTTTGTCGTGGCAAATCCGGTCGTTCTTTATGGCCTCAAGACCTATTTTGTTATTCGTGATACCGGTTTATTTTGTTCATTATTCCGCGTGACAACAGTTCTATTTTTTTCACGTTTGTTTCGTTGCCCCTCTTGGATTACTATCGACGTTCACGTCTATTTCACGCACTTTATTTTACGTAAATCGTTTTGCGTCCAATTCGCAAAGTAATTTTTGTCTAATCGCATCAGCGAGTGAAAAACTTATAAGATAAATCTTTGAAATCAGAACCACTTGCGCATAGCATCTAAGCTAACTAAGTAACCAAAATCTTCCGCTTTTTTTACATAGAGAGAAGAGGAGGTAAAAAAGACTCCCATCTGCAACTAGTGTTAACCTGTAGAGACGACCCTCTTGCAGATGTTTTTTTTCATCTCCCCATAAACATCGAACCCATAAGCAGTTGGGGTAAAATTTATAAAAAAAGGAAAACAACTCTGTTGACTTTTCACAAAAGATGTGATCATCATTAAATTGCCAAGAATTGAAATGCAGCAAACAAGCACCTTTTTACTATTTGCTTAGCCTGCCATTATGCTCTACTTAGTTCTCCATAGTCACAAATTCCAAAATTTGAAGCCGACTATAGAATTCACGTAGGTCCTCTAGTGCTTCTTCGTCCAAACACGTTTTTTTTTTACTATGCCTCAATGTCACTAGGAAAAAGTCCACCAAAACTTGTTCAGGCTGCTTCCGATATGATATTTACCTTTTGACCTACAGATGTTTCTGACTCTAAGCTAATATACTCAAAGCTCCTTGAATTAAGAATGTGAAGCAAAATTTGCCCGAGAATCCAGCACACAAGGACTAAGAAAACTCTCGAGCAAAAAAACAGAGAGTAACTATCAATCCATTAACGACTAGTAGCCTCAATATTTACCGAAAGGGCAATCCTAATGTGCAAGTAAAAAAAATACCACTGAGAGTAGTCAAGATCATTTAAGTTCAGAATATAAAATCATGCTACCAGAAAGTAGCTAAACGTACCGATAAAGATGCAATCAAGTCAATTAAACGTTCGGGGTCGTTTTCAAGTAAAATAAAACACTTCCGTAAATGAGAAGGAGAACTTCTTTCATTCGAGAACACTATATGTGCAGCAGTTTCACATATAAAGGGTCCATTCTGCAAATGGCAACTTTAGCAATGCTTCAGTGGCATAATAAACTGTGATCTTAAAGCAGTAACTCAGTGTCCCATCACAAAGGCATACCGGAAGTAATCGCACGTTTTTAACCAACTCGTTGCAAGCTTCATCTAGACAAGGAACTATGAATCTGGCAATTTCTGAGACATGATCACCCAAAAAGAGCGCGAAATCGCATTCTAAAGGAAGGAATTTTGTTAAACACTTCTCTTTAATTGCAAGAATGTTACATTAAAAGATGTCAGAAATAAAAAATGATTTGTAAAATGCCTTTTATATGATCATCGATGTAAATTAACGCCTTCAACCAATCAGATTCGGGCTCTACGTTACCAAATAACGTTAGATAGGCCTTGATTCGAATATTAGAATCGGAAGCAACAGAAACAGCCTTCAATGTGTGATTGCGTAAATGAGTAAAAAAGCGAATCTTGTCCGACCTCAAACGCTCCATAACTTCGGTGTTAAGAGGAAACGACTGAGAGAAGCTCGATAAAGCGCTAAAATCCCAAAAAATTATATTGTGCAAAATTTTATTTTTAAATTTCAGAATGATACAGCACTACTTTCAAAGTGATAACTACGAGCATTCTGTAAAAATAAAGCGACAGTCAACAAACTCTGATTCGGTAAGGGAATACTCCAACGCAGACATACAAATGGTCCAGCTATCCATCTTATACTTCTCTGCAACCTCAATACAATCTTTGATCAAATCCTGGTCTGTTGTCCTTAAAAACTCTTTGATTAATGTACGAGTAACGTATAAGACATTCTTTTCTTATATGAAAGATAATAAAAGTTAGGTTCGATATCCTCAACACAATCCGCACTTTCAAAAACGATTTTA